TTGTAGAGCAATAATTTATATTTGGAACACCTATTTCCAGATGACTAAATCAACACCAATCATAGACAATCCCCTTCTTGCCATTCTTATATCCTTCCATTGCTGCTAAAAACAGCCAGTAAAGAAAATACTTTTAATGATTGCAAGCATTATTCAAGGATGCTAACCAAAACACTCCCAGCATAAAACTCAAGTCTGATGCAACTGCAGTCTTGGAATTTTCTTTTTTCACTCCATGTGTTTTTACATATGTAAAAACCACACGTGCATGCACATACACACACCTCTCTCTCTGCTTAGACAGATATGTAAAAATCCACCAATATACACATAAAGCCCCCCCCAAACATACATAAAATCCATACACCTATCTAACCATACTTTTAAATTAATCATAAATCCTTATTCCCAGCACAGAATGCAATTTTATCTTTTTTTTTTTCTTTCTTTCTTTCTCCTTCACACAAGTTGAACCTGGCTCTCTAAGAGACCATTTCTTTCCATGGCAGTTTTCCTGGGAGACCTCCATCACCCCAGCAGGATGGTGTGACACGATGGGGGTGGCACGTTCTCAGCAGCACTTCAGAATTCCCTCCCACCCTCGGTCTAGCACAGCACAGACTTGATGAGTGTAAGGAACTCTCTAAAATCCCTTCCCTCTTGAACTGCAGAAGGACTTTTTTACTTTGTGCTGTTGAACTCTGTGTCACAACGGGCTGTGTTTCAATATTTATTTTTAAACAGTAATGGCACATATTCAATAATGCAAAGAAAAAGTAACTACAAATGCAAGTGTCCTAATTGATGTAATGGTGAACTTGGAATTCTAACAGCTCTGAAATTGTTGCCAATAAATTATTCATATGTTTGTACTTTTCATGACACTTTATAAATTATTATGAAAAATAATGTTGCATTCAAACTTATTTTGATTTTAACACTGTTTCCAGTATAGAAAATATCAGCATTTACAAACAAAATTACTATCAATGACAAACAAAAATAATTTTTTTAAAAAAACAACTCTACCTCCTCCCTCTTACCCATCTATTCTGGCACCCAAATAATTCCAAATTACAGTGCAAATTGTCAGACATGAAAATGTATCTCAGGCAATGGAATCTTCTGGTAACCTGAGGTGCAAGATTCCTGTAACTCCTATTGAAATTAACACCTTAATTCATCATCCTAAAAGATAGACCAAGCAGCTCAATTGTATCCATCCACTTTTGAAAACAGGAAGCTTTTTAAAACCAAAACTTACCATACATTTCTCAGCAAAGCACAAAAATAAAATAAGCCCAATGATGACTGCAACAATTCCAAAGGAAATTCCCAGTTTTGCAGTTCTAGAAGAAAGCATTAAACAAAGTAAGTTTAAATATAATTGTTCTTCTAATAGCACTAGATGATCAAAACCTCACACAGGTTACTCTTGCACAATCACTACCTTAAGGGATTCTACCCCTGATGTCCCCAAGCGCTGCCCTGTGCATAAACCACATGTAAACTCCACTGTAGCAGCCACGAGAAACAAACATGCCATAAATTTCAGGATTATCAAGAATCTGCTTTCTCAGTAGTATGAGAAGAAGCTCAAAGTTCCCTTCTTGTAGCTCCAAAGACAAGAGGAGCACTGAGCACATTGTAGCCAGCTAAGTCCTGTTTTCCTACTGCTCAGTGTGCTTACAGCCAACTATTCTTATAAAATAGTATTTCTCACTTAACTGACCAGCTCCCTGTGTGTACTAAGCAAACTAAATATTAAAAAAATATTTCTATTTTATTTTCAGACTGATATCAAGGCTCTTATGCCAACACCATGAATGCACTCCTTTATCACGGGGTAAATTAATCCTGAGAGGTTTATGTTTCTTGCATATAAACTCTCAGGAACCCCAAAAAGTTCCATGCACACGAGTTTCACTTTAGCTATTGGTTAATTTGAACTCTAAATAATTAAAATACCATCACTTACTTCGGCATGATAAACATCTGTATCACAAATATACAGAGGAACACAAAACCGGCACAAGCGAAGTAACTCTTCAGTTTTAGGATAGGAATGGTGCGATACTGAAACACAGATTAGGATAAGTGGTCAGGATAATTCCAGGGTGGGGCTTTTTCAATTCTATTACATTTTTGTGATGACACACATATATAAGTTCATACTGTACTGTTAATATACCTAGAATTAAAAGAGAACAAAAGAAAACCACCACCAAAAAAAAA